AGGATCATTACTAGCTATGCAAGGTGACTTCTGTAAAGTCCCCTCCATTCAGATGGGAACCCCGGTCAAGGTCAACACAGGCCACTCTGCAAGGCAATTCCAGGAATTGCTTTGGCCAGATGATCCATATCCTTATTTAATTACTTCCAACATGCCCCACACCTAGTGTGGACTGTTCTGCACTACTAGCCTCTAATAGGATTGGATACATGAGATGTCATACAGCCTGCCTCAACTCAGCAGTGCAGTGTAGCACCTTTTTTCTTTCTTATAATCAGGAAAAGTATTCTGAAAACTTGCAGCTCCTGCTAGCTGATTATTTTTTGAAAGAGCAATAAATGCAACATTGAAGAAAACATGCACAAAGAGTAGCAGGATTGGAGAGACCCTGATTATCCATCCTTTATATCTCCACAGCATAGTAACATCTGAAATATCTCCTTCCAACTAGAATCACTGAAACAAATCTTGGAAAACAGTGAATTATTTTTCATTGCATACTTGCATAAGATAACAATCTTATACTTGAACAAGGCTGAATCTTAGCCTGTACAACAAACAGACCTTCATGAAGAGCATAATGGTAGCATCCACCTTCTGTATAGGTTTCAAATTATTGGATATGTCACAGTGCAGGCTCTGGATTTTGTTAATGGTATGTTGTATAATTTAATTTTCATTAACTTAAATAAAAAGACTAATTAAAAGAGCTATGGATTCATATTTTCAAATACAGTATCACCAGTTCACAGACAAAAGAAATTTGCTGTTTTCAAAAACACAAAGTGTAGAAAGTGAGCTTACTTGTGTCACTATTTTTACTAGTCAGAGACTGCACAAGATGACTTAGGGAAAAAAATTACTCAGTTCTGTTGAAGATATCAAAGCAAAGCTCTCAACTGTAGCCTTCCTTAGTAAAAGCTGTTCTACATATAAGAACTATAGGATCTAATATGCATAATTATTCACTCTCACTTCATGTAGACAATATTTCTAACTTTAACAGCTGCATGTAATATTATAGGCTGCCAAATTTCAGAGTCTGTCCATAGTCGGAACAAAAAGTGTCAACACAGAGTGTTTACAGGTTTTATGAAGTCAGAAAGTAGCGTTACTGTTTTGCAAGAATAAATACTATGAAGATTAGCAGAAGTAAATATCTACCTCACTCACTCTACCATTTCTCTAACCTTTTTTTCTGATTCTTTGCACTTTCACAAAGCAAGACAAGAAACTACATTGTTTACACCAAGCATTTGGGAGAGTAAATGAAATAGCAATTTCAACCCGTAAGTTCTTCCTCCTTGCCCCTTCCTTCTAAAAATGCCGTGTGCTTACCACTGATTCTAGGAAACAATCCATCTACTGTGTTATAGCCCGTCTTCATATAGAAGATGCCAGTTCAGGAAGCGACTCATCTGGAAATAGGATTTCTCTTCTTTTTAGATTTTTGCAAAAAGAAAAAATCCCACTCATTTCTCTTTCTGGTCCTGGTCTGCCTTGAAAAATGCATGGAAGGTTGTAAAGCTGATGTGAAGGGAAAAAGAAAGCTAAATGCTTCACGAGACCCTAAATTAGCACAAGGTGCAAGCTAGACAAAGATTAACAGAAGTCCTGGGATTGGTCTTGCCATGGCATACACACACCGCAGCTGCCTACAGATGTTCAGTTTTGGTTGCATCTTCTACAGACCCAAAGCTACAAAGGTGAAAAACAGATTAAGAAAGGACACTGAAAAAGAAAAGTATTATAAAAATGGAATGAGAGAAGGAAAAAAGCAGGAGAATATGTAAATCAAGGTAGGCAGCATGAAGGCTATTTTAAAGTATCAATTTCAAAGCAGATGTTTCTTCCAGATCAGGCCCAAGATCCATCCAGACTTCCTTAAGCTATGTACACTAATATTCCTCACAAATCTCCAGTTTATTTTTTAACCCTGCTTCATTACCCATAGAAATACCCAGTTCCCTTTGAATTCCATATGGCTCTTAGCTTCTATTATCTATTGTAGTAACAAGCAACTTAGAAAAAAATTTTAAGTTTGTTGCCCTTTCAAAGTCTAAAGAAGGAGATGACTAAGAAGAGGACAAATTTTAAAAGTAATTGTAGTCCAGGGGCATGTTGTACATTAGCATTTCTCCCAGCATGACTTTATGCTCTCATTTTAGGTCATTCCCAAGGGAAGATGAAATCCAGACACAGTTAGAAATCTTTACTTTTAAAACAAGACAGGAAGCACTGCTTTTTATCCCACCAATATATTTGAAAAGTATGGACTGAATATTACGTTGCATAGAGTTTATACCAAAAATGCTTTGCTAGATATTTTCAGCATCTGTTCCCAGTATTTCATAGTATTTGTGTACATGCTGTCCTCCTATTTATGAAGAATTTTACAAATTACACAAAGATGATTAAAGCAGGTATGGCTTTCTTTAGTCTTCTGCTTTCCTTTGAAGAGCAAATGGAAGTCTATTATATTATCCAATAAACTGTTTGCATGAAGTGCATTTGTGCTGGGATCTTCTTGCTCGATGGGATTTTACCCCATTACCTGAGACATTCCTAGTTAAATGTGTTTGGTGGATGACTGGAGGCTGTGGGTTGTGAGGAGAAGGGGAACAGTGTATGCCTTACAAGACATGCAGAAAAGGCATTTTTGCCTTACATGGTAAGCCATAACATGTAACAAGTTGCTTAAAATAATTCAGAGAGAGAAATTTTTCTGTATCACGTTGCATAATCTGGTCCCATTTACAGGGCGAAGTAAAGGGTCACAGCTTTAAAGAAAGATCTAGAAAATCTGGGCTGAAGACTCAATGTAATGTTTAGCACAGCAAGTAGCTAATTCCGCTGTTGCAAATATACTTCATCCTGTTATTTTAAGTTTAAGCAACATCAGAGACCTATTTGCAGGTACAGTCTTGGAGAGCCAGCAACTTTAGACATCACAATGGTGTCACTTGGTGTGTAGTGGGAGGTTAAAAGGAGGATTAAAAGCAGTCAGGCATGGTATATTAAATGAATCCATGACTAACAAGGTGTGACAGCAAAGGTTTTCATTCTTTTCAACAGACTAGCTCCCTAAGGCTGGAAGTATTACTCTACTATGCCTTTATCACCTTGGAATTTTTATGGTTATTTCTGATGAATTCACATTTTTGTAAGGTCTTTTTTTGACATTAAGCCAATTTTCACTTTTAATTAAAGCCATAAATAACCTTAATTCTATATTAAAAGAGTTATTGTTTCTTACTTTTTATTATTATTACTGGCAGGAAATATTTCAAATACCAAAGCATGATGTTAGTTAGCAATTACAAGTTCTCAAGGGTCCAGTAACTATGCTGTACTTTGTAAACATTACACTTTGCAAAGTTTATCCATGCCTTAAGTAAGCGGCTTGATATGTGGCCATTTTTTTTTCTTTTCTTTTTGTGGAGGTTTGGCTTATTTCCTCTCCACATATCAATGTATCTCAGGTGATCAATAAAGCATGAAGAAAACCTTATCAAACAGGGAAGAAAAAATAAGCAATTTTAAGTACAGAATGTGCCCACAGAGAGTCAGGCAAGGAGTAAGAAGGGCCAAGTTTAAACTATTTGGCACAAAGAAGGAGTGAAAAATGAGCAAAATGAAAGGCAAGAAGGAAAATCCCCCACAAAACTGCAATCTGATAAAATGAGAGAGAGGCAGTAACACATTATGCCACTTTCAATGACAGTAACATCACAGTGCAATTTAATACCTGTATTCAGGTCCACTATGCCCATTTTAGCTGAGGCATCACAAACAAATTTCTCAGAATGCAATGACTTCATCGTTGTTGACTTTGCATGCTTGACAGTGTCTGGGTGGCAGAGCTGCCCTCCCGGGGTAGGCAGGATGGGACTCACAGGCCCCCTTCTGCAGTCCTGCCCATGGCAGTGTGCATGTGAGCAAGGGAGCCACAGCAATAGTTACTAAAGAAAATGAATGCTCAGTTAATTCATCTCTGATGCAGAAGCAGGCACTCCTAAGTTTAAAGGAAATTCCTCAAGAATAGTATGGGTCAGTTCCTCAGAGGCTGACAAGCAGACCTCTGCTGCCATGTCAAGAAAACATTGCATCAAAATGTCATCGAAAACTTCATCAAAATTAGCTTTTGGATTTGTATACTTCAGCTTTAAAGACTGTCACTTGGTGCTTCCAATACTGCACGAAGCATTTTTTTTGCTACTTTCAGTGAATGGCTGTGCATTTAATTTTAAGACTTATAAACTACAACTTGTTTTATATGGAGCTGACATCTCAAAGGTTCATCTATCCCTACACCAATTCTTACATGTTCCCGTTTTATCAGGACTAGTTTCTCTTACAATGAAGGCTTCGATTTTTATTCTCAATGATCTAAACAATCTAATGAAATAATATGAGATATAATGAAGAATGCTCAGAAAAAAGAATAAAAATCACTCCCTTAGGTGACAACTCAGATCTTCAAAGATATGCTTCCACATATGAACAACTGTTGACTCATGTACTTGACATCCACAGGGAGCAGGTGCTGTGAAATGTCTTGGTATTTAGAAGTGTCTGCCATGTGGAAACATAATTTAGATCTTAATTTCACATACTGTCCATCTGCCCTCAAAATCTCTCCTTCCATTTGAGATTGGCTATGTGAATCAGATTCTGTATTACTATGTATTTACCAAGCAGCAAAACTTTAAAACCAAAAATTTTTTTGTTTGAAAATTATTTTTGATTTGCCTCATTATATATGCTTAGGGAGTAATCATCGCATCACAAACTAAAAAGCATTAAAGCAGGCAGCCTCATTAAGTAAAAAATAAATTATCATCTATATAAGAACCATGTCTATTATTTCCCATTAACGGTTTTTCTAACCAACAGTCTGAAATCAGCACAGGAACTTGAAGATTCCTTGAGACATCTGATATTACAACACTGACTTCTCCACGTAAGCTTTACACCAGTCAACGTGGTAGAATATTTACCTTTTTCCTGACTTGTTGGTCTTTGGAAGAATGGGCTTTCACATGCTTTCTCAGGGAACTTGGATCTGTGTATCGTTTAGTACATCCTGGAATCTGACATGCATAAGGTTTCTAAGTCAAAAAGAAAAAGGATAAAGCAGCTGTTATATCATAGATTATTTTAACTCAAGAAAATCCCTTTTGAACCTTGTGATGCTGCAAACCACGTTACTACAGAACACAAATGCTGTGTGTTATTACAAGCAGAATGCTCCATAATTCATTAGAAAGGGAAAGGAGGAAAGTAAGGCTTATAAGGAAGACGAAAAAAAGTAAAGCTTTCATTATGGCACCTTCGTTACCTTTTTTTTTTCTAATCAGTACAATGAATATTGCCAGTTATACTCACAATTCTTCCACCCTCAGAGCAATCAGAAATTACATTCTTTAGTGAATCAGGTAAAGAAACTGCAGTAAAGGCCCAGATAGACTGTTTAGGATTACAGAAGAATCTGCCTCAGAAAAAGAGAACAAGAAAAAGTGTTAGTTTACTACATTACAATAAAAGCAAGCAAACACCAAGGAAAGAATTGAACACTGAAATTTCAAAAATAATACTCCCGAGCCCACACGTTTTAATGTGAAATACAAGACAAACTCCTTCTGTTCACATTTTCTAATAACGCGTCATTTTAGAAAGATACGTGTCCTGTAATGGTTTTCCAGTTTTCTTAAAACAATGACCAATAAATCTTACTCACCAAATAAATAGAAATCTCTACAAATATTTCCCTCTGCCTGTTCTAACCTGTCTGTCTTCCCTGAAGACTTGTAGGTCTACAAAACATAGTATTACATGAACATTAGGTCCAACTGCTGAAATTAGCTATTTTACATTTTAGCCATTTCTGTTTAACAAAGTATTTCTGAAAACACCTTGTACAAATGGTAACTTACTAGCTATGCTACTGACTACCTGTAATGGGTAATTTAAGTTCTGTGGCAGCCATGTAGTTCAAATGGCATGACTTCTGCCCTTTGGAATCTGCTTTTCTCTGATGAACCATATTTTGTTATGAAACAGAAGTTCTTAAATAAATCTCAGCTATGACTCAAATTCACAAGCAAAAATTTGTTAGTATGAAAATTCTGAGATTTACAAAATGATTCTTTCTCTCTTGACTTTCTGGTACATGCCCCAGCCTTAACGAAGTTTTTGTCAGAGAATAGCAGTTATGATTGTAGATAGCTTCTGCATCTTTGTATAATGACTTGAAGGTCCCTAAAGATCACCTAAGTGCGAGAAAGTTACTGCCTCTACCTGCAGCAAAGCTCAGGTAGCTGTCACCTGTTTATCAGCTATTATGTCCCATCTTCATCCACAGATTCATAGAATGAACTAGGTTGGAGAAGACCTTTGAGATCATTGAGTCCAACCACTGACCTAGCACTGCCATGCTTACATTACTGGGTTACTTCTCAAACACTAAAACAGCCTCATCAGATATTTCTTCCTCCTGTCTCTAAGGTTATGGGCTACCTGCTGACACCAAGCGGAAGGAAAGGAGCAGAAGATCTAATGTACTGTGGACTGCAATGAGACTTCTGCTTCCTTACAGTGTCCAAGTGTGTCCTCTGGTGCTTGGCACGGTCACTGGAGTTGCTGAATGCTTTCTGGCAGCCAGGATGCTGACAGAGGTACGGCTTTTCACCTGTATGGCTCCTTAGGTGAATCTTGAGATTTTCTAGTCTGGAAAAGGCTTTCTTGCAACCCTCAAACTAGAAAAGAGAAAGAAATTATTTGAAAGGAAAGCACACACAGCAAACCTAAACAGCAAACACTGAGCAGGAGGGCAGAAAGGGCTTGCAGAGACCTCCAGTCTGCTAGGCTGGGTGCCTCTCCAGACCTGGGGAAAGACCTGTTTCCCAGTGCCGGTGTTGCTGCAGGGTCCCTGCACATGGCTGAATTAGGAAACTATGTCCTACTCCCACTGTACGGATGGGACATTCAAGACCCAAAGAGACCAGTCAGCTCAGAGGGCAGCACTGCTCTGTCCTATGTGGGAAACACATCCCCAGCCAATTCCCCCAAGAACACACAGAAAGCAAAATGTTCACTGTGAGGTTGCCAAGTCCTACACTAGCAACTCTCACCTCAGCTTTCGGCTTGTTCGGATATAAGAAACCAAGCCGAACATGGGCATTTCTTCAATACCAACCAGATCCACAGAATAAGGCAAGGAAATGTTGGTCTGCTCTGCCATGCTCATGGTGATGTAAAAGTAAAAATATTTTTGGAAAATTTCTTTGCCTTTCTGCCATGAGTAAATGTATGAGGTATTAAAAAATAACGGGAACCCATCAAAACAGGATTTAATCCCTAGGGGTAACCAATAACCACATGGCGCATTTTATCTACACCTAATCAAGTCCTGCATCTGCAGAGAAATCTATGTTTATATAAGCAGAAAAACAGTTCTTCATCTGTCATGTTCCACAGTATACTTTATCTTAAGGGAAACTAAAAATCATCAGTTCTATTTGACACTGGCATTTTCATGTAAAATTGATTCCAATTAGAATTTATTTGAATTGAATATTTATGGATACTAGCTGGAAATACAGGCTTTTTTAAGTCTATCAGTCCAGATTAATTGATCTCATTAGTTTCAGCTGCTGCATATTCCACTGTGCGGTATCCAAAGTATCTCCTACATAACATGCTAGTTTGCAGTTCTTCTACACTTGTAAAAATAATAATGTATGAACTGAGCTGTCAAACATTTCTAATGCTAACACAAAACTTTCTATCATTTCCCTTCCCATTCATTTTGCTCACTTTAAAAAAATGGGCCATTTTTCACTGATGTTAGAATAACACAAATTTTACAATACAGCATGTGTATGTTTACAAAAGCAGAGATAGGAAAACACATATATAATTCTGACCATACAAAGATACTCCAAAAAAACTCAGGAGGCTGAATTTCTGTGCAGCACTTCCTAACAGCTTTTGTTTAGTTTCAGCAACAGAAGGAAATACAGACTGAATTTTGCAAGCTTAAGAAATGGAAACTTAACAAAGGGGATAAACCATCCCCCATTACACCAAAATTGCAATTCTATCTTTCACACACATCAGCTTCAGAAAATTTCTGAACCCATTAAGCTTTTTATGGCTCTATCCAAAGCAAACCTACGGCATTCTTCAGATTATCAAACTTTGATCACTAAACACTAATTTATGCTTGTATATATAATGTTACCTTTCACTTACAACTGTAAAATTTTTGTTACTTTTAGGGAACTATTGTTAGAAAATATTCCAGGATTAATAAAAAAAGTAAAAATATACAAAAATCTCTTACAATGGTCTGGATAAAAATATCACATTTTAAAGACAAAAAAGTGGAGAAAGCATAAAAAACATGAGAGCTAGAAGACTGATACCACAAAAGGCCTTCAAAAAGCAAAATAACTCAAAAGCAGTTGTTTTAGAATAACCAAGAAACCTTCTCATCAGGCCATCTTATTTAGACAAGTTATTATTTCTTATTAAATTCATAAAAGAATAAACAATCATTTTAATGACCATAACTAAGCTGTACATAGGTATGAAATGCATTAGTATCTCAAGCAAGCTTTAGCTTTATAGAGTAAAACTCAGCCCAGTGAAAAAGTTTTAAAAGCAACCCTCTGTTTATTTCACAGATCACTAAACTCTGCATCTTCAAGAATGTTAACAAAATTAAACATGTGTAAATGTTTATATAATCGTAAAATTAGTGTTGAATTTAACTGGGCAAAAATGTTTAAGGGGTCTGGACTAGGGAATGCTACCTTACAAATTTAAAAGTTGTGATTTCTGAGGACTCCTGCATGGCTCATCATTACTTGGAAGCAGAGAAGATAGTCTGAAGCTCTCTCTAGCCATTCTAGCAAAATCAGAAACTAAAAGATTATACTATTAGAAAGATGACCCTTAGACAACAATTCATGAATATTTACTTTAAAAAACAGACTTTTTGAAGTCTTGGGAACCTCTGATGCTTAAGAAAAGAAGATATTCTTTCCAACATAGAGAACATACACTCTTTACTGATAATCATGTTTCAGTGAAGACACAATTATTTATGTACCTATGGGCGGGGAAAGCCAGGCAGACAGTAGTTGTATTTTGAAATGGAACTCTTCATAATTTCTAAGTCATTAACTGCGACAGAACAGGAGGATGTAACACCTTTATTACAATTAGCCACTTAAATACATGGCATTCTGAAGCTGTTTGACAGTCCTAAACCAGATATCTGATTAAACTAGATTTTTTGGAAGTATGACATGGAATTAATTGTGTAATGTTTTCATAAGCTGCAATATGCAACTCAGAGTTACTGAGTTTTTATTTTTACTGCTGCATGTAAATTGAAACTGTTAAGTAGCTCATAAAGAAAATTTCCTCTCTGTACTTCCTAAGCTTGGGAGTTCTTTTTAAAATATATTCATTGGAGTGTCCATATCCATGTATTCCTTAATGAATTATTAATTAGTAACATCTGACTATTTTGAAATATTCTGTGCTTATAATTTACAATTTTATTTAATATTTGTTCAGTAAAATATCAATACAGAGGAAACAGTACTAGTTTTCTACTTTTCCTTTTTCCACTCCAGACTGTAGAAATATCAGCTTGTTAACACAAGCATTCTCGAAGAGCTGATGGATGTGAGAGAAGGAAATGAAACAAACGGGACTCTATAAAGGCAAAGAAGGACTCCAAGTTGCTTCATGTAGCATTCTGAGACTTTGGAAACAGTGAGATAACTTGATACAATGATTGCTGACAGGTTCAAACTGGTATGAGTCTGCCTGCTTGTAGACTGTACAAAATGTTGCCTCTATCTCACACAGATGTGCTGTCTGGACATTGACCTGATCCCATCCAAAACAGTAAGTTACTGTTTGAGATTGCTTGACTTGCTTACTTTAGTAATAGTCATATGGTGACCATAAGCACCACAAATAAAAGTTTTAAAACCTGAGCTTTGGAGAAAGTTTTCTGAATGAAAATACAAGCCATTTCTGAATTTCAGAGAATGCTGTCATACGTGAATGCATACCTGCAAAGGGATGGAAAGGTATCCTTAAAAACTCAGTAAGTAATAAATCCGGAGTAGCATATACATAAATTCTCAAACCAAGTCTTTGAATTGTTCAGTAGTTATGTAGGATTTTTAAAGTATTTATAGGAAGATAAAGGGCAAATTAATTTCTTAAGAACATTTTATGTTTTTCTGTCAACTAATTTTGAAGACTCTTATATGCTAACCAGTTGGGTTCTTCTGTGTCAGCACCAAGGCAGGAGGTATGACAAAGTATCTTTCCCCAGCTTTGCATTTATGACAAACAGATATAAAAGTTATTCTTTATATGGCTTTCAAACAAGAATGATGCATCTCAAGCATTAATTAATAGACTTCTAGAAAGCATTTCCCTTCCTCAATAGCATTAGCAGGGTGCTGCTCTGCAAGAGTTGTAAGGGCTTTCAAAAAATTGAGAGTAGAACCTCACATGAAAGCCTTTTAAATAGCTTTTTATTCCTTCAGACTTTCCTGCCTGGCAATCTTGTGAACAACACACAATTAGTGTCAGACATCATTCAAACTGCTGATATCAGGTGGTCACCAACATGGAGGCTGCTTACAACAAAAGTCCAGGTTCATTTAACGTAAAGTAAGTGCTGTGCTTTTAAACCTTAAAGTGTTTAAATGGGAAAAAAGGTAGCATGCAGGGCAGCCCTTGATGGTAGGGCAACCATTTATATCAGAACTGAGTACATTTTGTGACATTATGACTGAATGCTTTGGTGGATGCACAGTGCTTATACAAGGCTATATTTTCCTCAAAGCTATGCAAAAGCTGGGATTTATTTTCTGCTTTTACAGCTGAGCTTATGAAATGATACAACAACTTGGAATTCTTTGCTCCAGTAAATAATGGCAGACTGTGTTTATGTGTATTGCATCAGATTATAGTAGGTACTTGTTGCGCAACCATTCAATGACAATTTGGTCCAAAGTTTATTGAAGTAACTAGGTAATTACTCTTTTTTTTCCCTTCCCCCTAAAAAAAACCCCCAAAACATTTCTCTCTACTGCAATATTCTCACTTCAGGTATTTCTGGTAGATTCCACTAAAAATTTGGGATTCAACACTGTGTAAGTATAAATGCAAACAAAAGATAATTACAGAACACGATAAAGCCTTAAGTAAATTGTTATTTATATTCTTTATACTTCCCACTTTAAGCTAAAAGGCTTATTATACTCAAGAGATATACAATAAAGTTCATATTATGAGTCCGAAATAAGACTTATGGGCCTAGTCAGTGCTTACGGCTATAAGGCTCCTATTTTAAGAGCTTTTGACTAAGGAGCACATAATGGGGTTTTTTTTCTGTACATGTGGATAGCACAAGATTAATAAACTACATCCCAACTGCAGTTTGCCAAAGCATCCATCTCTTTGGGTATGTTTTAAGTAAGAAGAGTTACATAGTTCTGCTATAACCAAAAAATTCAATTAAATCAATGGGAAAAAAAATAAAAGGTATTAAGGCAGAGCAAAAAGCTACCCATTGGTTAACAGGGGAAATTGAATCAGGCTACTTTCTCAGATAGACACACAAGAAAGGCTAGTCTCTTACATTCTCTTAAGACAAAATCTCACTTTATCAGTCACCCTGTACACACTTGGCTGAGTAATTCCATATGTAGACAGA